ATTCAAGCCTTGAAAACGACGTAGCGCGAGAATTCTGGTCTTCTAGCGACAGACTCGCCGTTTCCGCCCCTAACAACAGTTAACGGTTTTTACAGTAAATAATACCGTAAGAGCTGTAGCTGCATTGTAAATAAAATCAAATATCATCTTTATATGCATGTATATAATACACACAAAAAAAACTCTGTAATATAAGTGCGCAGCTCACCAAACAATTTCGAAATTTCCCATAAAAATCGAGAAAGATATAAGATAGCGATAGTGTGCTAAAAATGGCAAGTAGCTGTCTATTACGTAGAAAATGTTTAAATGATTATCGTTGTATGATGTATTTAAAACATCCAATCAAAAGCACGGATTTGTAGAACAAGGGCCGATGATTTTCCACTATCGGCTAATTAAGTTCCAAATGAGAAAACCTTATAAATATTCCTTCTTTACTCTCTTTTACGCTCAATTGATTTCTCAGAAAAATAATGGACTCGGTTGTCGTTAAAAAAGCAGATCGTTCTGAAGAAAAGTATTTTACTTTTGATAAAATTCCTGATCTGGCTGGAAAAGTAATTATTATCTGATTAATTGAAATATAATATATCATCCTACTGAATTTTGTTATTTATCTATTGCCTCTAGGTTGCAATTGTTACGGGAGGAAATGCTGGAATAGGTTATTTTACATCTAGAGAATTGGCTAGAAAAAATGCACACGTGTTCATATTAGGTCGTAGTATCGAGAAATGTCAGGCTGTCGTTGAAAAAATCATATCCGAGACTGGTAATCGAAATGTTGAATTTCTACAATTGAATTTAAAAAGTTTAAAATCTGTTAAAGAATGCGCCGAAAATTTTTTGGCAAGAGATTTGCCATTGCATATTTTGTAAGTTTTATTACTATGATTATTATATAATAGTTAAAAAAAATTGCAAATTTAGCCTAATTAATGGTTATTTTATCATTTATCAGAATTAACAATGCGGGAGCCACAACAATGTAAGCAATAATATTAAAATTCCAATTTCTTTCCAATTGTAACTATAAGAACAATTTAATAAATATGCTAATATAATAAATAGTACATATTCACTTACTGAGGATGGAATTCAAGAGGAATTTGGAGTCAATCATGTCGGACATTTTGTAAGTGAACAAATAACAATCCAATAAATTATTAATGAATAATTTAAAAAATCAAATAATAACGAATATATATATATATTTACTGTTAGCTTCTCACTACATTATTATTATCAAAAATTAAAGCTTCACAACCAGCACGTATAGTAAATGTTAGCAGTTCTGGTCATGCTAGAGTTGCTGGAATTGAATTCGAGAAATTAAATGATCCAAATGCACATGACTCGAAGCAACGTTATAGACAATCAAAACTTGCAAATATTTTATTTACTAACGAATTAAATAAACGATATCTTGAAGGAGAACAAGTATATGCTAACTCTCTTCATCCAGGTATCAGTATAATAAAAGAATCTTTTGTCAAAATTTAGCTAAAACAAATTAATTAACCAATTTATATTATTTACTATTTACTATTTATTGTATTTAGGTCTTGTAGATACCAACATGTTAAGAAGAAACGATTTATCTTTCGCGGAAACTTTTCTATCTTCTTCAATTTCACCTGAAGACGGAGCTATAACTAACTTATATTGTGCTACCAGTCCAGAAATAGAAGAGAAAAATTATCGCGGAAAGTATTTTGTCCCATTCGGTGTAGTAGGTGAAAAATCTTCGTATGCTGAAGATGAAGATTTGGCCAAGAGGCTTTGGGAATTTACTGAGAATTTGATAAACGAGAAGTTATCGCAAAATTAATTTGTTTGCTATTGATTTATTATTTAATTCTGAATATTAATATTCGAGTATATTTGGTAGAAAAGGCAACTTTTCCGATATACTTTAAATGTAATAGTTAATGTATTTCATGTGATATATCACTAATAGCGGTTATTCAATAAATTAATATTAAGCTGTAAATATCAGGTTTTCTTTATTACAAGTACGAGGCATAAAAATATCCAACGTTTATATAAGTAGTTACGTTCTAATTTTAATATATTTTGTCATATACTGTAATATTGGTTATTTCATTAAATGTGATACATCAACCTGATGCATTTTAAATTAAATATAATAACAAACCTTTTATATACTAGGAAAACAGTATTCGTTGGTTTCCAGAGCGCCGCTTAAGTTATTGTCGAATGGCTAATATCAAATTACAATTTGTCGGAGTGGTTTCTTTTTTACAACTCGGGAAAAGGCGTTATACTAACAATGCTACATTATAAAACCATCTGATTCCAAATGTACCATTGTTGTGTATGATATTGAAGAAACCAATACGTACACTTTGTTTACAGAAAACGATATGACTTAGCATATGGAGAAAAGGTTGAATTTAAACAGCGATATATTACCATGTGACAATAACCATTTTATTCTATATCACTATTGATGCTGAGTACATATAGAATAGATTTAGAATTTTGATTTAGCGTCTGACTTATGTTCCTCCGCTCTGTTCCAGAAATTAACTGAAAATCAAAAAGAAAGATATATAAACTTTTAGTAAAAAAAATTTTTGATTTTTTGATTTTAATAATTTATTCAACGACTAAAATAAAAATATCTTCAACCATGTTTCTGAAGCTTTAATGTCATAACTATTTTTATTTTACAATTTATCTATATATGTGTTAAAATCAAAAGATATTGTGACTGACTTCCCTTACTTTTACATCGGTATGTTCTAATAATTAAATATTTATTAATTCCGATGAAAAAAATTCCGTGTTATTTTTCATTGTATGCCAATCAGTGTTGGGATTCGTATGTTCTCGTGTTCTCATACCTTTAGGAGAACATACCTTTAGATTTGAGAACATACCTTTAGACTTGAGAGCATACTTTAGATTTGAGAACATTTGATTTTCTATAAATGTTCTCTGAAAAAAAAAAAAATTGAGAACATAATATTCGAAAAAGCATGGGGATCTTTCTCATTTTTTCGGAAAACACGGGATTATTATAAGGTAGTTAACTAATAAAAAGCTGGCTTTTTAACACGTGATATCATTTTTGTCAAAACAGATAGATAATCGTTAAACAATCAACGGGCA